GGCAAATACAAATTTAGAAAAGTCACAAGATCCTGTGTGAGAACGATTAGATCTCATTTGTTTCTTATTAAAGATAAATACTGTTATCAAGCACCATATGCACCAGATTATTAGACTTGTTTCATGATAACTGGCCTTGATTTATCTCAGTAAGCTACTCAATCTATTTTTCAGCTTGAGCTGACAAGAAATAGTTGATTGCATGGTTGATGCACTGATATCCCAAAACATCTATTATGAGGAAGCTAAATGGTGAGATGTTGCTAAGGCTCAAGGATAAAGAAAAGAGTAGCCTCACTACCAAAAAAACACAAGACTGAAAACTCCAATTGCTCCCAAATAGATTGACAGGTCTTTTAATACAGGCTCCAACACAAGACAACAACTGAATCCACGTTATTAATGTTTGCTGATGCTGTTAAGGTTTGTTTACATCAATGTGAGGAAAATTCAAGCCGTGTGAAGCGATGCAAAGACCTCTCTGTGGTGTCGTTTATAGAGCCTTAAAACTAAATTGTGCAATCTTTCATGATTTGTCTGACTAACTGGCACAAAAGCTACTAAAATAACATTTTTATATTGTACCACGGTGTTAATTTAATGCTTTTTTAGTCATTTAGTGAAAGAGCGAGAGACACAGTAACATATCATTTGCTGCGCTCAAAGACATGGTTTTATCTGTCCGTGAGGCCAGTTTGAACGCGCTGTTGTCTTACTGTTGTACCGGTCTCTGTGCACCAGTCCCACAGCATTTAACTCTGCTTTCAGCGGAGAATTCTCAGAGGCCTTCCTGACAACCTCCTCTAACACTACCTCCGAGCCTCGCCTCAACCCCAAGAAGGTTGTTCGCCCTTTTAACACCTCTTCTTTGACTGTATTCTTGATAGTGTTGCTGCTTTTGAGAGCACAAAACATAAAGAAATGCTGTGATTGCACAATGCAATTATGAGTAACCACTTTCTTTTACAGTTTGCCAAAATCTCCACAGACATCACTATCTCGGGATCATAATCTGTAATGCACTGCTGTTGGGCATTTGCTGTCCTTTCCTGAGAGAACTGTCATATTTTTCATTCTAGCTGAACCCTCAATGGCTCATGCCTTCGTTAAGAAAACCCTTGATCCTGTGAACTGCGCCTGTCTCTTAAGTGCTTTTACAGTACTTAAGGATCAGGCCAAATGATATCTTTAGATATAATCTTAGAAATACAAGAGCACGAAGACCGCTCTTGTCCTCAGTTTACCAGCAGATACAGTGCTCCATTTTCATTTAAATATCTGAGACCTTCAACTGTCCTCATTCTTCCGTCTGGAGCAGATCATGATGTTGCTTCAACTCATTGGTATTGGCTTTAAGGATACAATATAATCCCTAAATTCAACAGCTCAGCCTGCAGCAACCCTCTCCTGGTGGTCCTTTGGTGTGCTCTCTGAGCTCTTCTCCCATGTGGAGCCAATTTGGAGGACCATCATTGGAATCACTTGGCATCCTCAGGACACCACAGTATGTTAAAGTAAAAGGATGCAACCTGACTTTTTTCCACTACAAAATATTTCCACAAATAACCCTTTTTATCCTCAACTGATCTGTGAAAATCCGCCATGTATCAATCCCTCTTTGTTCCAATAACCTTAACTCTGTGTGTTCCTTAATCAATTTAAAATCAAGATCATGTTGCACCAACCGTGGTGCCTTTAGATAAATCTTATCTTTAGGACTGATTTTAAAGGAATAGTACGTGTGATTTACGGGGCTTTAGTGGCATCTAGTAGTGAGGAATGCATTTCGCAACCAGTTGAAATTCTCACTGTTAGAATTCCTTAAGTGTTCATTGTTCAGGAGTTTTTTTTACCAGGAGCTAAATTATCCGCAGAGGTCTCTTGTTCTCCAAAACAAACAGACCTGGTGATTTAAACTGGTAAAAACACTGAATAAAGCATAAACCCGATCTCACTCTGAAGTCGTCAAAATCTGGCGCTTAGGCAGTGACTTGCGGTGTCAGACACCAACGAAAAAAGCTGTCCTTTAACGTCGGCGTGATACAGGCCGGTTCCCATTATAGTTTAGCGGCGCACAGTGGCGTGAGGGGAAAACGCAGTGGAACAAGAACAAAAGTTAAAGCAGTGAAACTCCAAGTGGGGTAGGTAGGAGGGTGGTGGATGGGTCCAACAAACACTAACTTTCACCCGGGAGAGTGGTGTTCATGCCCTGTACGATTATAAAGCCAAACTAAACCAAACCTAACCCCCTTCTTTTGTTGCCTAAACCCAACCATGTGTGTTTGTGCATTTATTTTGAAAGAGACTGTATGTAAACGTTAAATTTCCTGTGAAAACAGAAGTGTATTTTGAAAGAAGACAATGCATGTAACAGGCAGAACTTGACACAGTGTCCCAGAACATCAACCAGCGCACTCAGGGTACCTTTCACATCGTATCTGGACGTGGAAAGTCCATGAACAAACGTCGATATGTGTCGAGGTTGGAGTTAGAACGTGCTGTACAAATCAGTGCTTGACATGGGGTGCTCATCCAGCACCTGCTAATGTGTGCTTACCTTATTTATGATCCAGACATTCAGGAGATTTTTACCCTGAGCCGAGCTGTCCGCAGAGGTCTCCTCCTCTTCAAAATCAATGGACCAGGTAATTTAAATCAGCAGTTTCACATTACAAATCAGTGTTTCTCAGATGCTATTGGGCATGTCAGAGATGGGCTAGCCCAGCACCTGCTAGTTTTTTCTCTTATAACTTAAGATCCAGGCACTCAGGAGGTTTTACTTGGAGCTGAATCATCAGCAGAGTTCTTTTTCTCTCCAAAACAAACAAACCTGATGATTTAAACTGGTAACAACACTGAATAAAGCAGTTTGTGTTTTTCTAACACGTTTCTTCCAGAGGGGCTGCGAACTATTGTGGCCGAAATGCAAAAACGTGAATTACCCTGTCTAGAGCCAGTATTTGGTTTGTCCATTCAGGGCTACTGTAGAAACATGGCACAGCAACGTGGCAACCTCCACAGACAACGGCCTGCTCCATATGTAGATATAGACAGCTCATTCTAAGGTAACAAAAATACAACGATTCTTATTTTCAGGTGATTATACACTAAAGAAAACATGCTTATCATATTATATTCCATTTCTGCCAGTATATCTCTTTAAATCCTACACACTGAACTTTTGAGGCTTTAATCGTGTATTTTAACCCACATAGATCACAGAAATGTGTATGTGGAGTTTAGTTAGATTTTAAAAGTACAGCTGACAGACTAGATCACGATGATGTAGTGTTATTGGCAATATGGTGATCACTATTTTTTTTTTTTTTACAGTGACTGCAGTGGCTGAGAAAAGGTGCCATTGTGGAGGCATTACATCAGACTCCACCCTTCCATATTGGTGTATTAATCATTTCTATGAACAATTGAACTTTGGAGATATAGCAGTTTTTCACTTTGCAGCGTGACCGGAAAAGGAGAACTGCTGAATCCTCATAAGCACTCAAGGACATCAGTACCCTGGAGCCTTGCCTGGGTGGGTCTGTCTGTTAGCAGTTAGCGGTGTCCCCAGCCAGCCTTTAGCTCCAAGGGCGGTCTCTACAGCGATATCAGTGGGCCAAGTAAGGAAGGACCTGCTCCCAGATGCTTGAGTGGATGAATAATGACACTGTAACACAGCTTCTCTCTGGCTCTCTCTCTCTGATAATGAGGAACAGAAGAGCAGACCCTCCCCGAGGCACAGCACCTGGACTGGACTGCCTTCCTGTCTACCTCAGCCTCTGTCTCTCTCTCAGGAGATGGGCAGGGAAGAGTGAGACTTTGGCTGTATGCCAGGCTCTCGGTTACACTCAATCACACTCCGTTTGGTCTAATTGTGAAATTATAAAACATCGTATAAAGTTAGCGGACCATGTTTGAGCTCATCAGACGCCTGAAAGTGTTGTTTTTGTTTCAGGCATCTTTAGCAAATAATATATGCTGCCTGGGTTCCTCCCTCAACACCTATACATTTCTCTTTCCCTCTACTTCTCACTCCTTTCCCTGCAGAGAAGCTTTGCCAAGTGGAGTCAATTAAAACGGTACATCTAAGTGAGAAATGTCTGTTTGAGTGTGCGTCTCAGTGCGTATGGTTTCATAACCTCGCTGTGTGCTTCTTTGTGTAATAGTGTGAATTTGTGGTATTTTCAAATGTATGTGTGTGAATGTGTGTTGTGTGTGTGTGTGTGCAAAATGTCTGAGTAAGTGTAGAGGTGGAGGCTCCCCTGGGGTCTGGCAGTATGGCGCTGTAGTGCTGCACACTCCTCCAATGGGACCGGGACAGCTGTGGCCAACCTATACCGCTTCATGGGCCATAACAAGACTTATGACACACACACCTGCACACACACATGTACACACCTATTACTCCAATGCTGCCGACTCTGTCTGGCTGTCTGTCCTTGTTTTGTCTGTCAGGAACTCTCTCTTTTTCTTTCTCACACACACACACACACACACAGAGAAATAACAAAATAAATTCACCCTATTTCTCTCTTTCTTTCTCATGCAGCCTCTTGCACAAGTGATGCTTCCCGACATATGTGAAGGTGCATTTTTTTTCCCATTTTTCATTCATACAGCCCACTCTTCCTGCCGCCCACTCAGCGACTTGGTGTCCTGGTCAAACACGACTGCCAAGAGGGGTTGTCTGCATGTGCCAAAGGATTTATGTATTAAAAATGAAACAGACTACACAATGAAGAAATAAATTACCAAGCAGCCCACATTCATTCATCTTGTCAGCTACTGTATACGAGCGCATGAGAGAAATAGCACCTGACAAGCACAAGTAAGCTCAGGAGAATCCACTTCAGACTCTCTGAATTATAAGGAAAAGGTCAATTTGTTGCGTTTTCATGAACAAAAACAAATCTGTCTTCATGGTCAAATTCACAAAAAAAAAAAAAAAAAAAGCACTGACAGAGACTTTCTTTTCATTTCATTTATTTAACAGTCACCAGATGATGAGATACATTCTCTTAAAAAAGAAATAGACAACAAAACTGATATTATTTTTGAGATTTTAAAAACTATTATACAATATTCTTAATATATAGATTTTGTACAAAATAAAAGTCAGTAAAAGGGCAAAGGGAGAAGGACATCTTAAAAAACAGAGAGGAGAAAAAAAGAGGATGGGGGATAGGAGTTGACTCAAACAACTACCACATTGAGGAGTGACAAAGACCAATCTCTTTCATAAATAAATATAGGAAAATTAGACATCATATATAGCTCTCTTTCCAATAGCAGGGCATTGCTAAATGTCTGTAGCATAGGTTATAATGTAACTGCTTTGTGAGGCCCATTTTGCTTAGAAAATTCCACACATTTTCTACACGGAGATTAGCTGGAACGCGACTAAAAGCCCTGAAATAAAGGTATTTACCTCAATTACGGGTCTGATAGTCTGTGCCGTGCTTGACCTTTGGCTGTAACAATAACCCCCACCCCACCCTTACCCCCCATCTTTTCCTTTGTGTGCCGTACTCGGTGCAGACCAAGCGCAGAGAGTCTCCCTCAGGGAACGAGAGAAGAGCGGTCTTCTTTCTCTCGTCTAAAGGCCGGTGAGAAACAAGCTTCAGACTCCCCCACTCACAAACAGAGACAATTGAGCAGAGCAAGTGTGGGTGGGGTGCACGGTATTAGGAAGGTCATACTGGACTACCAACATTTCACCATTGAATTCCATCCTTACACTGTGGGTATTTCAGTGCTGTCCTCGTTGGTCCTTAGAATTTCAACAATACAACAACAACTACAAGACAACAGAATAAACACACGAAAAGTGGATGTGGATGGCTGTGGGGCATTACAACCCTGTCTGACATAGACTCATGCCACTCAGATTGGCTGATTGTTTCTCCTCAAATCGCTCCCTTTGCACCTATTTGAGTATTTGAAGCTCAGGGTATAAGCACTGAAAACATGGCAACAGGGGAATACAAAATATAGAGGATGGAGATGGTTTACAATACGAATACACTACCTGTTTTCAGACACACACACCCAAAGAGTATGGAAACTGAGGCTGATGATTGATCCCACTGCAACAACAGGCTTTTGTTCTATCCTTGTCTCCATCTTTTCCTATTTGTACCCTCTGTGAGCAGGCAAGCGGACAGTGACATTGGCCCTTCTCAGAGCAGGACAGCAGGCAGAGTGACTTGGCGTTAATCACAGTTTTGTCTCGCTTTCTTGGCACATTAAGTCGCGGAGGCGAGCGGCTGCCCGGATGGCCGGGGTGAGAGATGGGAGGACAACGCGTTAGATTCTCAATAATGACGCATCGCTGCCGCATCACTTTGGAGATTAAAAACAAGATGCTGAATTTCAATCAAGCCACATTAATGGCTCGGTGTGAGGAATGGTCACTTTGTCTCCACTGGCAGGCAGAGAGAGGGAGAGAAACTGGCACGAGAAGCCCAGGTGAGACAAGGTGATACGACGTTTTAATTCACCAAATTGCATGCTAGCCAGTAATGATGGAATCCATTTTACGATGTAGTGACAATATTTTCCAACCGGTGACAAAAGGGCACTGACAAAATGTGACATCCAAGATAAAAGTGCGCCAAGGACTAAATGCATGTAGCTTTAAATAACAGGACCGCTGGTTTAAGATAATTAGTTGGATCTGATGAGCATGTGAATTTCATCATTAGTGAAAGGACAGTTCGGATCTTTTGAGGTGGGGTTGCATAAGGTACTTATCCATAGTCAGTGTTTTACCTTCCCACTTTAGGGAAGCATGTAGACTCATTTATACTCCCTTTACGTACGACAGTAGATACATCTGTTTCAAACGTTACTGCCCTCATACTTCCATGCGTCGTTTATGATGGTATAAAGACAGCCAAGATGGCAGAGTCAAAAATTTCACACAACAACAAATGAGGCAATGGTGGAGGAGGTTGTAATAATTGTGCCTTTAAACTGAGGCAACGTTGTTCGGTTCCGCCGTTATTCAAATTTCTTCATTGTCGTATCTTGCTTGATCTACGCTACCCTGCCTCCATAATCTCTGGTGGTACTGCATTTCGTCCGTATCTGTAAGCTTTCAAAAAACGTGCACAAAGACAGACGAACTGAAGTCAGAGTACGGACAGAAGGCTCTGTCTGTCTCCATATCTAACACTGAGCGTACATGAGTCCTTACATGGAAGCTAAGCAATGAACTGCTGTGGAGGAGTCAGCAACCTCGGGCACCACATGTACCAAAGCTACGCCCAACCTGTGGCCCTTTGCTGCATGTCCCCTCTCTCTTTCCCTTTCACCCTGAGGCTGCCTATCAAATAAAGGCCTCAAAAAAACAATGTAAGTGAACAACATGCTAAAAATATTTTCACTATTTTACCCTTTCGTCAGATGACTTCCAACGAGAAACTGAAGCTCTCGTTGAACATCATTGAACACAGGAGCTTCTGGTCTGCTGCTGCCTTGGCCTGTTAGTTTGTTTTTGCTATTGTGTGACTTTGGCTTTTAAAAAGGTTAGTTTAGATTCATCAAAGTCACACAATAACACAAACTTAACTAACCGACTGATCAGCAGCTCCCTTGTTCAGTGAGCAAAAATTACTGTTTTTTTTTAGTGGAGTCTGGTGGCTTTGCCAAGCGCGTAGACTGAGGCAAATAACGACTTCCCCATCTGTGTGGACTGTCTGACAGAAAGGTAAAGCAGTAACAATACCCTCAATATAGTGTACACTTAAACTATTGTAGATATTTTTAGGTAGCTAAAATACGTTATGCTGCTGCCCCCCTCCATAGCAGTACATTGCTTAGCTTCCGTGCCATCTGCTGTGGGTAATACACTGACTAAGGATAAGTACCTCATACAGCCCGACTTCAATAAATCCAAACTATCCCTTTAAAGTGGTAAATTGGTTTTAGATCAGATCTCTATGTAAATATACTATATTTACATTAAAACCAGTGTCAAATCAGGGTTAAATTTAACAATTTTGAATAATTCACTTTTTCAAAAAATGGTAAGGTGAGTGATAAGAAACAGGCAATGTCTAAGCTTCTGAGCTAACGCTGAACTTAAAAAACCAATCATCTAATCACATAGCAACTAAGGACTTAATGCAAAAAAAGTCCCCACCACTGACAATGACAGCATATTAGAAAAGAAGTCCAATTTTATTTCAATGCCAAGATGTGACACTTTATCAACGAAGCTTGTAATTTCCTCATTTGTTGCTGTCAAATACCGCAGTCACCTTACAAAATATGCCAAGTTCTGTCTGAGCTGCTCTGTGAACGCCTGGCACTGCGAGATGTGACCCACTTGCAATAAAGTGCATTGAGAGTTCAGTTCTCATGGTAGATGAGAAGCGATGTTGGGCGAACACAGCTGAGAGATTGTCATCACAGTATAGCTGATATGAAGAAAAACCTAATGTGACATGAACTAGATCTCTCGGGGAGGGAAGGGAAATCAAAAGAGGAGAGGGTGACAGAAGAATTGTCAAGACAACAAAGCGAGACGAGAGTGTTGGTCCTATAGTCTCTGTGTCAAGTCAGGAATGTCACAGTTGAGCACAGTGCTTCATGGGTAGGGTAGTTCTTTTAGTTCAGAGGACAGGATGTGTTGTCCTTGACTTCAGCCAGGCACCCAGCTCTGGTTGCTGTGGGCTTGCTGTGGACCAGTCAGACCACTCATTCCCATCCCCATGCCCATGGTCACACCCATGCCCATACCCATGCCAATGCCCACCCCTTGCGCTAGGGAGCAGTCAAAGTTAAAGTCCATCTCCTCCCCAGAGTCCATAATGTCATGGAGGAGGATGGACTCCACATCGCAGTCCAAGCTACCGTGGAACATGTCAATGTCCAGGTCAGCTGGTAGTCTCTCGGGGAGGTGAGGTTGGTGATAGCCATGGTAGTTGCTCCCAACACTACCATTCCCCATCCCCTGGCCATGGTGATATGGTCCGTTAGTCATGCCTTGGTGTTGTGGGTCTGGGTAATGGTTGTGACGGGGGTGCGGGGCAGTGGCCACATGGCAGGAGTCCTGGGGCATGCCAAGCATGCCTGCTGGGTTTGGGGGGAGGGTGGTGGAGGCAGGGAGGTGGGCATGTGATGGGGGGCTGTACAGGTAAGGAGCTTTGTGGTTGTAGGTTTGCAACTGATTGCTGTTGCCACGTGGGATGAGGGCCACAGCCCGGGGCGGTGTGTGGTTATGGCTCTGGCTGAGGTTGTGACCGTTGTGAGCGAGGCTGTGAGGTGAGTTGTGGTTGTGGTTGGTGACATTGTTGTGATTATGACTACTAGTATGGCTGTGAGTTCTGTTATGGCTATGAGCTGAGCTGTGACTATGAGGTCCATTGTGGCTGTGGCCATTGTGGTGGCCAGGGTGGTGGCTGTGATGGTTGGAGCCCACTCCATTACTAGCTTGAGCCATCATAGGGTGGCTTTCCCTCTCCTGTCCCAGCATCATGTCCTTGGAACAGTATTGCTGCCTAGCTGGACCACCTGTTAGCAGACTCTGCAGGGCGTTGGTGCTGGAGTATGCCCGCATGGTTCCAGAGAAACTTGCTGGCTTGTTCTCCTGAATGGTCTGCATGGGTGAGTGGTGGCGCAGCATCCCCATGCCTGTAGCACCATAGACGCCTGCACCGTAGGGGCTCTGTCCCTTCACTCCAGAGTTGTAGTGGTAGACAGGGGTTTGGTGCTTATGTCTGCCAACAGCTGGATGCTGCTGGTGTTGCTGCTGTGATGGGTGATGGTGATGATAACTATCCTCCATCAGCTGTTCATCCAGGCTGATTGCACCTGTCAGGTTGGCCAGCTGAGGCAGCTGCTCAAGGGGAGGACAGCGATTCCCTGCCCCCATGGACGGAGAGCGGGCACTGGTCGGTGAGGGGTAGAGGTGGGGGGAGGTGGAACAGGACAGACCGCCCTCCTCTGGTTCTTCAGGCTCTCCCTCTGCAAGGATGGGTGACAGACGCCCACTGAGTGTGGAGGCTGAAGAACTCGCCCTGGAATGGAGATCTGTCCAAGCATCAAACTCTCCATCTGTCCCAGTTGCAGCTCCAGCTCCGGGGAGGCCTTTCCGTGGTGGGCTGCTGTGGTCGGGGGAGCCTTGGAGCCCAACAACAACAGCCCCTGCTCCTATCCCAGGACGGCCAACCCTCTTTCCTCTGACGCGGCCTTTGCTTTTAAGGTATTTGGTGCTGTTGTCCATGGAGACTGCTCGCCGGCGGGGAGCCTTGCCCATCTTGCCTCCATCTGGGTTCAGCATCCACCAAGAACTCTTCCCTGTTCCCTCATTCTGCACCCTGATAAAACGTGTGTGGAGGGATAGGTTGTGTCGGATGGAGTTCTGCAGAGAGATAACAGAGAGGCACACAGTGAGAGAGAGAGATCAAATTAAACCGTAATACATCACATCACTTATCATTTGTACACAAACTGCTTTTCTGAGGTGAACGATTTAAATGAGTGAAATTTGCATGAGATTCATATAAAATGTACAAGAGGAAAATAAGGTTTTCTGACATCAAACGTTAAAATCAGCAATGCAGACAAACCCACTTATAAATCATTCAGCCTATACATGCTCAGTCATAGAAAAAAATGCCAAATTATCAGGTCGCTTCCACATCTCTTATGAGATAAACAAGACACACACACAGAAGTTGATGCGCAGCCCCCTGTGCAATCAGTGTCAACCAAATTCAGAAAATTGAGAGCACGTTCAAAAACACAAACATGTTCAAAGGACAGCTACAGCTGGCACGGAGTACGACCTTGTCAGCCTCAACCAACCTGAGACGACCTGAGACTTGGGCTTGAGACACACTCCTTATGTGTGTCAATCCTCCCACTTTCATTTCCATCAATCCATCTGTCCTCCTCTACTTTTCCTTTCACCCGGGCTGATGTAAGCTGCTGTGGTTGGGCGTACTGTATGTTTGAAGTCGGTGCCAGTCTGGCTTAGTGCCAGCCCTGTCTCTTTCGCTCTCATAGCTTGAATGGGGGGATGTATCGCAAGACTGAGCCGGGAGCAAGGCAGGCTAATGGATGTATCCCACCCTCCGACATCTACCTTCACTGCCTATCTCTCTTTCCCTCCCTTGTTCTGTCTTCATCACGATGCCTCTTCCTCTTTTGTCACTGAGTAATACATACTTTGTATTTTTCTTATTTCACACACTTCTGTGCACACAACAGACATTTTCCACTTCTGCTTTCAATCTCTGTGCCTTCAATTATACAGTGTGTCACCAATTACTTTCCCATTATCCTCCACACCCGCATGTACAGTCACTGACTCAGTAATTCATAGGATATAGTTTTTTTTAGGTATCATTTACATCTCAAGGGTTGTTGAATGCTGAAGGTTCCTGGTGTGCAACAGAGTCTGTCGTCGCAATTCGGCTCTTTGTTGTGCGTGAGGCATTTTGACGCTCATGGAGGAAAATATCAAATCAAAAGCACCTCCTGTGGTTTAGGAATATACTGGGACAATAGATTGTTTCAGATTGAGGGGTACTCACACTTCCACCATCTCCATTATGTTGCGGATTATTTGTATTCACGCTGAATTGCACGGCAGGGAAACAAATAAATCAAATTGCTGCGGAGAACACAGAAATGGGAGGCGAACTGAATTCAGGTGATCTGTGAATGCCTCCTTGGGTTATCTCGCTGTGACACCTCCGGCATTGGGTAACCATGGCAACCGGGTAAACGTGCAACGGCAGAACTATATCATATTGTGGTGAGAGTCAAGAGAGTGAGAGAGAGAGAGAGAGAGAAAGAGAGAGATAGGGAGAGTGGGGGATGGGGGAAAAGGATGCAAGAGGAGGCGGTTGTTTGATGCTGCTGCTCCAACACTAAACAGCCTTTCATCTCGGCAGTGCAGGTCCGCAGGGGATGCCCGCTCCCTGCTTCTGACGGCTTCTCTACGTGCCGCGCCAACTCCCTGTCTCACCCTGGCTGGATCATCAACCTATCATACCACTTCAAATCATCCCCATCAAGTCCTGTGCATGCCTGAATTAAAACATATGTAAGCTTTCATGCCATTCCACCACGGCCGGTTGTAAATGGGGCATCTTTCAGAGAGCTGAACCACTTCATGCTGCAACTCTGTGTGACCTGTCTGATTCAAATCGCGATTTATCCCTGTATGAGGGAAGAGCAGCCCCATTGAACTTGGAGGGATTTGTCATCATCCCAAACCCTCTTTATCTGATGAATCCACCTGCTAGAGAGATTTGAGAGATTTCGGACGGTGGCCAGCCGTGGCATCATCATCATCATCACTAGCTGCCGGCTTCCTGTCGTGTAGTTTTCCACCACATGTTTTTCTCTGTCATCCTGTTTGTGTGTTTTAGGATCTAAGAATAGCTCAGGTTGCAGGTGGTTCCACTGTGGGTGTGGTTCTGTCCGCCTCCTGTTCCCTCACTCTGAGTCAGGGGCAATTTGGCCAGCCTATGGCCCTCACGCCCCCGAAACAAGCAGTCACTGCTAATCCCCCTCCATCCCCGAGTAATCCCAGACAATCCTGGGCTAATCCCAAGTTGATTCAGGGGCACTCCCAGCTGGGTGTCTCACACAGAGCCGTGCCAGGTCACCACGGACGCAGCGGGCAGCCCGGATATGCTATGATCCAATAGTAATACAGCATAAGGGAAGTTTGAGATGTGTGAAACAGGGACACTATAAACCCCTTATAGGATGTAGTGTTAAACTATTCCTAATGTTTGTGTGTGCGCATTTTAGTAGATTTTTTTGAGGCAGTGATCCGATGTTAACCGCATTTTTTGATGCCTCCATCGAATCAACTACCTTTACTCTGTGTTCTGTCCTTGAGGGTTGGCTTTGCCACATTTTTTACCCCTACGGGTTGAATAGAATAAAATTGAAAACTTTATTATGTATTAAATATTCATAAAATGGAAATTCTCTTTCAGCCCCCTGGCTTGCCGAGGCAGACGGATGAAGCCCACAGAAACATACAATGACAGAGAGGAACACACACATCACACGCCTGGGTCCAGGAAGCTGCTTCCTATTCAAATCATACCCCTTTAATACAATGGGCCTAGTGGAGAGGGCTCTAAATAATGAATGAACCAGTGGCTGGGCTTATGCGGAGAGATGCACTGCCTGGTCCCATAATACTGAAAAGAACAGACAGAGTCATAAGTAGTGGTGTGACTTCTTTGTTTTGTTATCAGGGACATCCACCCTCATTCTCTGTCGACAAACACAACCCAGTCTGGCTGAGAGGGGTTAATTTGGACATAAAGTAAAAGAGGATAAGGGTAAGAGGTTATGGACCAATCAAAGCCAATTAAGGTGAACAAGGTGCTTTCGGCTGCAGGAAACAATCAGCTTGAGTTCAACTCTCATTAAGGCCTAAAAATCCTGATTTAGATATTAAGACAATAGATACCAGGCTGCAGGACGGCCCTCTTTGTCCTTGTCCTTTGTCCTCTTTGAGCAAATCTAACATGGTGATGCTTTTTATCACAACACACAGGTAGAGATGGAAAGATCAAAAATGCAAAAGATCAGGGGTCCCATTTATAAACATTGTGTATGCACAAAACGAGGCCTGAAAGAGGCATACGCCACTTCCCACGTAAAAGTTGTGATCTATAAAAACAGACTTGATGGGAGAAACTTTGACCCGTGCAAACAAACATATTGGCGACTGGAAATTGGCGACACAGATGGTGAGGTGGAAGCCTGATTGTAGAAACTGTCTAATTTTTTTTGGCATGCACCATTTTCAGCTTTTGTCTGTACATATATTTTTAGTATTGCTCTTACACACTGTTTTATAAAAAGACCCCAGTTAGTTCTGAGATTTGGGGATATTTTGTCTCCATGTCTTCTTTCAGACTAGTTAAAAGGAAATGTCCAAAATACACATTTAGGTGTTTATTTAAGTTCAAATTTTCGTTCTGGAAATTTATGCAAAAAGAGCATATTTAATGAGATAATACTCCATTTGCATATTTAAATATGACATTTTAGAAAACCTGCAATACAAAAAATAATTGTCTTAAAGTAAGTAATCAGCTGGGGAAGTTTCATAATTATATGCCAGTTAAAATTACTCTAGTGTCTTATTGTTTGTCTAAACATGTATGGAATTTTCCGATACATATCTTTAAAGGCCAAGTTTTTTCTCGAACTCTGAGCCAAAAGTTTCCAATTCAATAGCGCTTCCATACGCCAGACGTTCAAGTTGTATTCTTATCTATGTTCTGAAGGTTTTTATACCATTTATACACTATTTCTATAACATTTTACTCATAAAAACATGGCAGAAAATTGTTTCTTAATGGCTGTTGACAGTATTTATTGATTTATGGAGAGATAAAAAGAGCTATCCAATTCTTCCTCTTTAAATACCTTTGACAATAATATGACGACAAAATGAAACAAGAATTTTGAATCTGGCTTTACCCAATTTTCATATTTTTGTGTATGTAAAAGTATGCAAATCAGTGCATTTTTTAATTAGATAATTTATATTTTGCATAATTAAACATGCAAATTTGTAATATAAACTGGTAATATCAAAATGTCTTACTGTAGGTCATTGACTGGGGAAGTTTCATAATGGTATCTATTAGTTAAAAATGATAACCTATTCACCTGGAGCATCTCCTCTTACTCAGGCATTGTCATATTTCATATCAAAATATACAATGCCATTCAAAAATATTTAATAAGCCTGGCTTTTTAAGATTGTTTTTTACTAAAAAAGATGTTTAAAAAAAAAGAAAAAGATCAGATTTGTTTAAAGTGATGCCAGTATGATTTAGTACCATTTTAAGAGTTTTAAGCACATTTTAACTTTATCATGAATCATCATTATTTTGGCGGGGATAATCATGACATTAAATTTTCACATCATCTCATGCCTTCACACAGGTGGACTGAGCAGTGAGAGTGTTTTTCACTGGCTCAAAGAAGGAGACAGACACAAATGTCTTATGTAAATCTGGTCCAACAGATTATTGCTCAACATTTGTTGACGAGCAGAAACAGGTTCCTGGAATTCATCAATAATAATCTCTTTGAGAACCTTTCATTTGGCTCTTGGAAATCTTACAATACCAATCAATTGTTCTCGGTTTGATTCAGGGACTGGAGAGGCCTATTTAGTGTTGGGAATCGATGAAGTTTAATGGCTATCAGTGCTGAGGCTTAGCACACATCAAGGTCTGACTAACTACACAATCCACCTGCATTATGAGGCCAATATGGGTGCTCAATATGCCATATCCCCACTGTTCACACAACGTCTAACTGCCACAGGCTTGACAGTTAAGTGACTGCGCCCACAAACTGGCT